CTAAATTACAATGACTAAAATTTGTATTTTTCCCTTTCATTTTTTCAACAAATTCCAGCTTGAATTCGGTGCAATAAATGCACCACTTTCATCGAAAGTTTCCCAACAATTTCCACCGAAATTAGCCTACAAATGTTGACTTTTCAACAATCTCCCACTTGAAGATTTGATTGGAACAATCATATCTTCACACCATTCTTTCTACCTTGTACCTTCATGTTGCTTACGTCTCTGAAAGACCACAAGAGGATCGACACCAAGTAAATTTTTCAGCATTGATCGCCTTTGTCAAGAAATCTGCTATGTTCTCTTTGGTATGGATTTTCTGCATATCTACCATCCCTTCTTCTACCTTTTCTCGAATGAAGTGGTACTGCACTCGTATGTGTTTTGTTCTTGAATGAAATGCTGGATTCCTTGCTAGATGCAAGGCACTTTAACTATCACAAAACAGATAGACATACTCTTGATTGTGCCCAAGCTCCTCCAATAACATCTTCAACCAAATTGCTTCTTTACTGGCTTGTGTAGCTGCTACATATTCTGCTTATGTTGTGGATGTAGCCACAACTGATTGTAACTTAGAAACCCAACTTACAACTCCATCAGCAACTTTAAACACGTATCATATTGTAGATTTGCTTTTATCCAAATCCCTTGCATAGTCAGAATCGACATACCCATTGATAAGTAAGTTTGATCCTCCATAACATAATGCAACATTTGAGGTCCCTTTGATGTATCTCGGGATCCTCTTTACTGTATTCCAATGCTCTTTGCATGGATTCGTCATGTACCGACTAACCACTCCCACTGCTTGTGCAATGTCTGGTCTTGTGCATATCATAGCGAACATTAAACTTCCCACTGCTGATGCATACGATACTCGAGACATCTCCATCCTCTCTTCTTCACTGCTATGACTCATTCTGGAGGATAATTTGAAGTTAATGCGAAGAGGGGTAGAAATTGACTTACAATCTTGCATGTTGAATCGTGACAAGATATTCTTCAAGTAATTCTTTTGTGAAAGCCAAATCTTCTTATTATTTCTGTCTCGGTGAATTTGCATCCCTAGAATCTTGTTTGCTAATCTCAAGTCCTTCATTTCAAATTCCCTAGCCAGTTGTGCCTTCAATTCTTCAATATGATCTTTGTTGGGTCCTGCAACCAACATGTCATCCACATACAATAGTATTATAACAAAATCATTATCACCAGACCTCTTGAAATAAGCACAAGGGTCTGAATTAAGTTTGTTGCATCCAAGACATATAATGAAGGAATCAAATCTCTTATATCAACACCTCGGCGCCTGCTTTAGATCGTATAGAGATTTGTTCAACCTGCAAACCAAGTTCTTCTTTTCTTTTTCTTCAAAACCTTAAGGCTGAAGTATATAAATCTCTTCTTCAAGATTTCTATGAAGAAAAGTTGTTTTAACATCTAGTTGCTCTAGATGTAAGTTCAATGTGGCACACATTGCCAAAACTACTCGAACTGTTGTTAGTCGAACCACAGGAGAAAATATTTCATTGAAATCAATACCTTCTTTTTGAGCATATCCTTTGACCACCAGTCTTGCACGATACCTCTCAACTTGATCGTCACCATTTCGCTTGATTTTAAAGACCCATTTGTTACCAATTGGCTTCCTTCCTTGTGGTAGTGGCACAAGGTCTCATGTATTATTTTTATGAAGGGCTTCAATTTTTTCTTGCATCGTCATCATCCACAGTGAAGCATCTGAGCTGTTTATTGCCTCCTGATATGTTGATGGCTCACCGTCCTCTGTTAAAAGGCAGTATGCAATATTTCTTTCTATAACATAATCTGAGTGCCAATTGGGACGTCTTCTCACACGATCTGATTGACGAGTTATTGGAGCTTCAGTACTCTCTGGTTCTTGTTCATCATGTGTTGGTTCTGCTTTAGAAGAATCTCCTTGTTTAACCTCCTTTTTCACATCTATCTGTATAGTCTCTGACTTTTCAGCGCTATCATCATCTTCTTTTCTTTGTAGTTTATCTTCTAAAAAGATAACATCTCTACTGATGATCACTTTACGGGTAGTGGGATCCCACAGCGATACCCCTTTACACCATCAACATACCCCAAGAATTTGCATTTCCTGGATTTTGGATCCAGCTTTAAAATTTATTGGGAGTTGTACATCATGTACACAATACTTCCAAATACATGGAGGTTTGAATAATCAGCTAGTTTACCAGTCCACGTCTCCATTGTGTCTTCAGCTCTATTATAGTTGATGGAGCTCGATTCACAAAATAACAAGCGGTATTGACTGCTTCTGCCCAGAATGATTTTTCTAGGCCTGCATCTCTCAACATTGCTATTGTTTTTTCTAACAAGGTTATGTTCATCCGCTCTGCCACTCCATTTTGTTGAGGAGTGTTCGCCACTATGAACTGTCTTTTGATGTCTTATTTCCTGCAAAAGTCATCAAATTCTTCGCTTATGTATTCTCCTCCATTATCTGTTCTTAAACACTTGATCTTATTTCCAGAATCAAGTTTCACCCGCGCTTTGAAGTTTTTGAAAGTTGAAAACACATATGACTTCTTATTAATAGGGTACACCCAGCATCTCCTAGAGTAGTCATCAATAAATGAGACAAAGTATTTTGCCCCGCCTAGGGATGTAACCGGTGCTTGACATACGTCAGAGTGAACCAATTCTAGAACACTTTTGCCTCTAGAATTTGACGTGTTGAATTTCAACCAGTGATGCTTACTTGTTATGCAATGCTCACACAAGGTAAGTGATACCTTTGTTAAGCCTGGAAGTAGCTTTTGCTCCACAAGGACTTTCATTCCTTGTTCTGACATGTGTCCAAGTTTCTGATGCCATAACATTGTCGAATCTGAACTACATGAGGCAACAGAGGCTTCTGCTTCTACCAAAGTCTCTCCCTTCAGCATGTACAAGTTTGCAACAATCTTTTCACCTTTCAGCACCACAAGCGCTCCACGGAACACCTTCATGATTCATTTCCCTGTTTCAATCTTGCTTGCATTATTATCCAACAATCCATAGGATAATAAATTTTTCTTCAGGTCTTTCACGTGCCGCACATCTCGAACAACTTTAATTGTTCCATCATACATCTTCAATTTGATGGTTCCCACGCCAATGATCTCTAAGGCATGATCATTGCAACTATACGCAGATCCTCCTGAGACAGGTTCATAATGATGGAATCATTTTCTTCTTGAGGTCATGTGATATGTTGCTCCCGAATCAATGAGCCATATATCTGCAAATATTTTTATGCCTTCCACGGTGGTTGACGCTTCACAACATAGAGCATCTCCATCATCTGAAGTGTTTGCGGTATTGCCTTGTGGGTTGGAGTTTTTATTTAGACTCCAACAATCCTTCTTCAAGTGACCCTTCTTTCCACAGTTGTAGCACTTTAAATTCTTCTTGCTCATCGACTTCGATCTACCATGTTTGTGACTGCTGCTTTGGCCACATACTGTTGATCTCCCTCTCATCGTTGTCATCGTTGTCAATGCTTCTGCTTGTTGCATATTTACTTGTCTGTATTCCTTGTTCTTACGTCAATTTTCTTCTTGTAGAACAGTAGCTGCAACATAATCAAAGACTAGACTAGTGACATTATTGTTTGTCAAGTTGATGATGAGTTGATCATACGAATCCGGTAGACTTTGAAGTAGAAGTTCAACACATTCTTGTTCTCCTATTTTACAGCTTAAGGATGTAAGCTGAGAAAATAATGTGTTCAGTGTATTTAAGTGCTCCGTCACTGAAGTAGATTATGGCATACGTAGAGTGTACAATTTTCTCTTAAGGAAAATTTTATTGTGTAGCGATGAGGCCTCGTACAATTTGGATAGATGATCTCATATCTCCTTAGCTGTCTTCTTTTCCTCGATGCTTGACAATACTTCATCTGCTAATGCTAGATGAAAGTTTGCCATAGCATTCCCGTCCATTTCGATACATTTGTTGTCATCTGTGAAATCCACCGGCCTTTCACTGATAGCTGGTAGACAATCGTCTTTCCTCAGGATGTCCTTCATCTTCAATTTCGACAATGAGAAATTTCTCCCATTGAATTTTTCAATATCAAATTTCGTTGTCATAGCTTCTTTTACGGATAGCTCCCACTATTTCACTATCGTGAATAGTTCTCTGGAACCTTCAAAGAATGGGTAATAACTTCTTACTTTCTTATGTTGGAGGATCCACCTTTTGGTGACAACCACAAAGACAATAAGCAGATATTACACACTTTAATCTGGCTCGGATACCAATTGTTGCGGAAGACGGCTATCGGATAGAGCAAAATCGCAGCTGATAATTTGAGAAAATAAAAATGAAGATAAAAGATACACAAAATTTACGTGGAATACCCCTAAATAATATAGGGTAAAAACCACGGACAACAGTAGAAGAATTTCACTATGAGAAAATAGGAATTACAACTTCTCTCGATCTACCAAGGAGAAAACAATGATAATTCTCTCTTGATAAATAGGATAAAACAACTCTAAAGAAACTCTCTAAATTCTCTCTAGTATTAGAAGAAAGCTAGAATGCTTTGGGATGATTTTGAAGCTAAATGAGCTAGGGTATTTATAGTTGAAGCTTAAGAACTAATTTGTAAATACCATAAATTACAATGACTAAAATTTATATTTTCCCTTTCATTTTTTCAACAAATTTCAGTTTGAATTCGGTGCAATAAATGCAACAATTTCCACCGAAAGTTTCCCAACAATTTCCACCGAAATTAGCCTACAAATGTTGACTTTTCAACATTTACATGGCAAATAGAGGCAATCTTACAAAGCATCAGAAGTTGAAAACTCTTCTGTCGCTACTTCTACTCATTCTTCCTTTACTTCCGTCCTATTAACATGGAACCAAAATTATAAGACAAATGTGAATTTCAAAGATCAAGCAGAGGAAATGCATTTAAGATTTTATATATATACATATAATTATAGAAAAATCGGGCATGTTATGCTACAAATAAAACGGAATTCAATCACCATATTTATTGAGTGTTCAAAATTAAAATCCTGCGGTGGCCATGCCACCTTCCTCCTTTAGATACTCTTCAATTTGTTCCAATTCCTGACACAACAATAGTCCTATTTAGCCAACATCTTAATCAGATTGTAAGAGAAATATATAGGAAAGAGAGAGAAATGACCTCGATTGCAATCTCTATTGGAGTAAGATCAGATGCATCTCTACAACCTAGTTTGCCTGCGATTTCTGTAATTTTCAAACACTAGTTTAAGCGAAAAAATCATACGGAGGTAAACATAAGGACTGACCAGCAAGAGCATGAGCTTGAAATATCAAAAATGACGATACAACTCATACAAGGAAAATTTCAAGTTTCCATATAGTTTTGATATTTTCTTTATATTTTTCTACTGATATAATTTTACACTCCTTAAATTTCTAATATAATTTCCTAACTTTACACTCCCCTGCTTCCAATAAGCAGCTAACAGAGGCTTCACACAATCTCGTCCAAGCATAACATACAGCACTGAGTATGAGACAGGTTTAACTAAACATACCTTCCAAGGAAACCCGGGCATTTGCTTTAGCATAATTTTTACCCCTCTGTTCCAAAAGGTAAGACAGACGTTTCAAAGCCTGTAAAAGGGTCAGAATGTCAAAAACTTGCTAGACCGTGTGCACCAAGTCCACGCATGGAAAACAAATAACATCAGCAGAAGACTACCTTTGTATATGGATCACCATGTTCATAATGCAAAAGTGGACGAGAATGGGTACCTACTGCAGCAATCCTCCGTGCCAAGGTTTCCAAAGGTACATCTAACCAGACAATAATCCCCTTCTTCTGCATAAAATCCCAGACAAAGCAAATAAAAGAGTTCCAGACTTTTATGGTTGATGCAACAGAAAATTGAATCAAAGGAGAGAGGAATATAAATTATAACTTAATTCCTGTTTACCAGTTCTCATCCTGTACAACTGCACCTCCACCAGTAGAAACAACAAGTTGTTTCTTTGAAGAGAGCCTCTGCAATACCTCAGTCTTGTACACAAGATGACGAATACAAAAAGATTCAATTCAATTGGAAAAATGCACAATATATTATAATGTACCACGTGAATTGACTGATAAAGATATCTACTATCTGAGAACAAACAGGTATGATGACCAAATTGGTTCTCCAATCAATCATAAACAATGATCTTAGACTAAGTGATAATAGAGACAAAATCAGATAGCATTTTGTCTAATGCTTTTCTTTCAGAAATTTGGTCCTCCTGCAATTGAAGGAAAAATTATGGCTTACTTTTCTACATGACCATCCACACAAGTAATGAGTCAAATAACATACATTGAAGAAACGAAAGCATGCGTGCATACACAGAGGGAGTTTGCTGACTTACCTCCTTTTTTCTGAAGAAACTCTCCCCATGATGCTTAAATATTTCAGTTACAGACATTCCATTCATCTCCTGCTCTATTAATACGTCACAGAAAATTGTAGAACAAAGATTTTTGTGAGACAACCAATTCCTATAATATTCAGTTGATGCATGATCTCAAATAAATCCTTAGCTCTTGTGACAAAGACCACTAATTCCACACTACAAAGTACAAACTATAGAGAACAATCTGCCACACAGAAGAACTAGGAAGCTCAAGAGGAATGTTTCCAGAAACAATTCACAATACAAACCTGTCATAAAACGAATAACCGAGCACATGAGACAAAATTTTTCCCACAGTAGTTTTTCCAGAGCCCGTCAATCCTGCACATTCATCTTCATAAAGTTTAGCAACTGAAGAAAGTAAAACTTTGACAACATAAACTTGAAGGACATGGACAAAAGGAACTGACCAATAAGATATATACTGTGTCCATTTAAATATGGCTCAACCTCTAGTGACTTATTCTGCAATTTTTATTCACATCTTGTAAGATACAGTGGCAGAACAAATTTCATATGCAGAACAAGTTAAATTCGGTTTTCAGTGTTCGAGGCCTACATAGAAATAGATGCCTAAAGACTACATAGAAGAGATGAAAGGTAAAAATTAAAAAGAAGGTATTGAATTACCATATCATACTTTATAAACCAAGAATTTAAAATAATTACAGTGATTTTTTTTATCATACCTTTAGCGTTAAAGCTTCATCGTAAGGCGCATAAATGCTTCCATTTTCCCATGTTGAAGCTATGAAATAACATTTTAAAACATAAAATCATAAGGGACAATTATATGCATGATAAAATTGTAAAATTCTCAAGAACAATGTGGTCTTCTAGGCTTTGGGTTGTATGTTACAACAACAAAAAATCTAACAGAGATTAAATAGTACTACTTAGCAGAGGAAGAGGACATAAGATAACTTTAAATTTTTTTGTTGGCAAAAGTATAAAATATAAATGAATTGACCTTGGATCGAGTACTTCTGCAGCCACATTCTTCAATTAATATATTTTTCATGTCAACATTTAAATCTATATAGTCTTTTCTAGCCAGCAAAAAGTTAACTAACGATTTTCATCCAACCAGAAAATATTAGGGGTCAAAGTGCTTCAGAAAAAATAGGGATCAAAATGATTACTTTTTCAAATGTTAGGGGCTATTTTGTCATTGTACCTTTTATATATTATTCGTATCTAGTGCGGGTGTTAGGTTTAGGGTCAAAATGACTACCCTTAGGTTAATAGAATAGACAATCTTGACTTACGTAGTTGGTTGTTAGTTAATTTTGACTTTGACATATCACGTGAGACCTATCAAAGGTTACATCAAAAGATTGATGCTTTCCAGTGGTGTAAGTCTAGGGATGGGCACGGGACTCGAACCCGACGGGTTTCGACCCGACACTATTAGGTCAGAATTTTTTAGAAAAAAATTTGGTTCAGGTTAGATTGGATCAGATATTTTCAGAGGTTATGCTCGGGTCGAGTCGAATACAGTTTTAAGGTGAAAAATACTCGACTCGAAAAATATAGTTTAATCTTATATATTTAGGGATAATTACAATAATACCCCTTTATATATATTATTTTTTCAATTAAATCCCTATTTTTTATTGAATAAAAGTAATGTTTTTTTATAAATATATTATTTTGGATCGATTCGAATTTTATCTCAAAAAGACAGGTCAGGTTGGGGCCGAATGAAGAGTGTATATTTATTGGATCTGGTCGGATTGACCGGAAATCTAACCTATGCCTATCCCTATGTAAGTCATTGGAGCATTTTTGTCTTATATCCGGAGATGTTTCTTTGTGAGGGCTTCCTACTTTCATTCCACATGGTCTTTGTCTAGTCAGCAAAAGGTTTACTAGCGGTTTCATTTAACCAAGGGTATTTTGCCTCAAAATAATATGTTGTGGGTTAAAGTGCTTCAAAAAGAAGAAAAAAAAATAAGAGTCAAAATAATTAATTTATCAAATGTTAAAAAATATTTTTATCACATTATGTCTTTTATATACTCTAGTATCTAATGTGAGTATTAGGTTTAGGGTCAAAATAATTACCCGTGGATTAATAAGAAAGACAATCTTTACATATATAATTGACTATCAGTTGATTCTAACTCTGATGTATCATGTGAGTTCTAGTAAGAATATGTCAAAAGATTGATCCTTCTTAATGATGTAAGTCGTTGGAACTTTTCTGTCTTATGTCTGGGCTTCCCCGTAGGAGTTATTCGACAGTGTGCGAAGTGGAGTAGGTTTGTTAGTGGTATAACAAGCTTATAAGTAGAAAGTGATGGTTTATTCGGGATAATGGTTACTTTAAGACCCAACGCAAAATGCTTTTACAAATTGAAACCCAGAAAGCTTTAGATATAGAAACAAGTTCCAAATTCAAGTCAAACTCAACAGTAATAAACATTGCAAAATATATATTTTAATGGAGAAAAAATTACAACAAATATAAAATATGAAGAAGAGTTGTTGGATCGAAAAGGAAGTGAAAGTTTACTTGAAAGCCAAAAAGGCGCCTCCGTCTTGGTTGTTTGAGCACACTGAAAGATGCTATCTGATTCCATTGGAAGAATTGAAAAGGCCAAAAAGGTGAGAATATTTTATAACAAATGTTAAGCCTCACGTAGAGCTGTTAGGAAAATTTAGGGATGGCAATGGGTCGGGTCGGGTCGGGTTTTTGGGCCACCCGACCCGACCCGAGAAGAAAGGGTTTTTCACCCGTGACCCGACTCGACCCGACGAAATTAAGGTTTCACCCGACCCGACCCGACCTGAATATATGACTTAGAAACCCGACCCGACCCGACCCGAAATAATAATAAAAAAAAATTTATTCAATGAAAACAGTGACTTAATTGAAAAAAATTATATATAGAGGGACATTATTGTAATTATCCCTAAATATATAGGATAAAAGTATATATATTTTTCAGGTCGGGTCGAGTCAGATTTTTTTTCACCCTAAACCCGACCCGACCCGAACAGTACATTTTAAAAAAACCCGACCCGACCCGAACCCAAAATTTTTTAAAAAAATCCGACCCGATCGGGTCGAATCGGATCAGAACCCGTCGGATTCGGGTTGAGTTGCCATCTTAGAAAAATTATATAACAAAAATTTGTCGGTTTGAGCAAGTGAACGGCCTCAAGACTTCGTTTTCATAATAATTGCCGTACAGAGAGATTTCTTTCATTTTATTATTCTTCGTGTGGTTGTTATTTACTCATGTGTTGCCAGGAATTTTTTAAAATAGAAAATTTTTAAGATAAATTATATATATAAATATAAATGAATTTTAGTTATTGTATCAGTTATGTTATTGAACATTTAATTTTATTTATTATAAAACTGAATTTTGATTTCTATTTCAATTATATCATTGAGCTTCTTAACGACATGATGATATGATTGATAATTGTTGACGTAGATACCACATCAAAATGATATTATTTTAGGTTAAACTGTTTTAGTGTCAAAAATAATTTGATAAAAAAAATCACAAATATACATGAGAGAGTTTAATTTGGAATCTCTGAATTTAGTAAATTGAATTTAAGAATAATTTAATTTATTTAATTATATGTTTTTGATAATATTTATAATATATTTTATATTTTATTTAAAAAAATATTATTTGTATCCAACAATGATGGAGCTGTGTTTGGCATTCCCGTAACATTGTTGAAGTCAAGGGCTGGTGGAAGTTGCTTGGCTCCATGGAACATTAAATTTCTTGGACTCAGCAATTGACACGTATGAGGTTTCACTCTTGATGGGGCCCATGCTGCCACAAAGATCATTAATGATGTTTGTTTTATTTTCTGATATTACCCAACACTCTTGGAATCCCACGTCCAAAACAAGAGGAGTGTGTGTATGTATTTATGTTAATAAAATTAATATATAAAGTCATATTATAATTATTATAAAAATATATCATTAAATAAATTAAATTAATCTCAACGTCAGTTTAATCTATATAATATTGTGACTAAAAGTATACCACCATTTTAAGTTGGTTTCGTGATTAATCACTCTTTCCCGAAGTTCCATATTCAAACTCTTTTTTTTTTGGGTGCATTTGTGATTTTTTCTCAATTTCTCGAGCATCAAAATAATACGATTAAAGATGTCATTTTGGGGTGACATTTATGTCAATAGCTGTCAACTACGTCATCATGTCGTTAAAAATTTAACAATTCAAATATATAATTAAACGAAAATTAAAATTTAATACTATAATTGATAACATTGAAAGTTCAGTAATATAAATGATATAATGCTTAAAGTTCAATGATATCTAATATAATTTATATTAATATGTATTATTTTATGGTTTTGGAAGAATATAATAACAAACTCAAAGTAAAAAAAAACGAATTATTAGAAATTCTAGAATGAATGGTATTCATCACTTTTTAGGATAAAATTCATAAATAATCATTAAATTATATCAAAATGATTCTTTTAGACACTAAATTTTTAAAAGTTATGTTATGAATATTAAATTTTAGATTTTGTTACAAAATGGATGCAATGCTAGTAGCCGCCCTTAAAGAGATGATACGACATTCTAAAATAATAAGAAATATCTTATATGACCTGTCAATTGTAACTAAAATTTTGTTTTACTCTTAATTTTAATTGAACTTTTTTATTAGGTTATATGAATTGAAAAAAAATAGATGTAAATAAATTAAATGTTATATTTTAGTGTAATATTATAAATATTGAATTTGTACTATAAAAATTATTTGATATATTATTAAAAGTTAAGGATTGTTTTGATTATTTTAATTTAAGTCTAGATTTAATTTTTCTCATTCATGTGATGTTATAATTTTATGAAACATTATTTTTAAATTGTATTTAAATTTCTTAAACAAAAATTAAATGTTTGGATCATATCGTTTTATAAAAAATGATTTCATTATTTTATAATTAAATTATTTGGATCTAAAAAATTATATTAAAAAAACACAATTAAAATAAATAATTAGTTATATAGTTTGATGAAGGAAAAAATTTCAAAAACTTATAATTTTTTTAAAATTTAACTTTAAAACAAATGTTTTTAATATATTTCTAAAAAATCTGAATTTCCTATTTCATTTTGAATTTTTTTCTTAAAAATATTGAAAATCAATAGAAAAAATTAAAATTTAATTATAATTGAGGAACCAAATAATATATTTTCATTAATTTACCCGTTAAATATATTTAAAGGTCGGTATCCATTTTTTTTTAAAAAAATTAAAATTTAATGTCTATTTTATAATTTTTAAAAATATAATGACAAATAAAATTATTTTATTAAAATTTACTAATCATTTATAAATTTTACTTTATTTCATATTAATAGTACGTATTGGTGTAATATATATCAATACGTGACATTTATTGTAAACTTAACATAATTTTATTAGATATTTTTATTCTTTCAAAATTAAAAGTTTTTATTTGTCAAAAAACAGTTTTTCCTAAATATAGAAGGTCTTTGATAAAAGTATTAAGCTCAAAGAAAAACGTTAAGTAAAATATTAGATCAACTAGAAATAATGACTAAGCTCAGGTTTCAATACTAAAGTCTCGGGTTAACCCGGTTTTTTAAATTTTAATACATTATTTTATTTCTTTATATTACAATTACATCATTTTTATAATACAAAAACGAAATTTATAATAATATATAATATTATAATATAAATATAAAAATATTGCAAATTATTCACGCATAAAAGACAAAAATATTTAATTAAAGGAAAATCATATAAGATCATTAAATATTAAATTTAAAATAAAATAATAAGTATAAAAACAATATGGGTTGTCCGAGAAAACGATTAGTTTAGTTGTTTACAAATATAAATCAGTTTGGACAAATTATTAAACACATATTTTGGGTTGCATCGAGCTTAGATAAATATAAAATACATAAATATATATCCGTTTGGAAAAAAACTTTAGATACATATTTTAAATAAGAACGAACTTAAATAAATATAAAATGTGTTAATTTCATGCATAAATTTAATCTGAATTCAGCCCACAAACACATATAAGTTATAACTCTATCAAACAAAAAAAAACATACTCAAAATAATTAAATTATAAAATTTTTATACAATGTCCAAATATTATACAAATCTCCCTTACACTATTTAAATTAGAGAATATTATGCACTTATTTTTTTTAATAGAAACATATAGTTTTATAAAAAATCTAAAATTACAATAAATATTTATAATTATGATCGTAAATTAAATATATAATTATGATATTTTCTATACTCATTGACATAATAAACTAGTCATTTAATATCATATAGTCACACCTCAATTTAGGGGCTAAAATTTAAAAATTATAAAGTATTAAATTAGAGTGACATTTTGTAAAATAAAAAATAAAAAATTGAATAATCTTAATTGTAAATTGTTATTCTTTAATTTTGGGACATTTTATAGTTCACGTGAAAGCTATTATTTGTTTGATGTGAAATTGTTTGTTATTATTAATTTTTATAATATGGAAAATGGGAACCACAAATTGAATGATATTTTGGTGTAATAGTGTTAAGGCTTAGTTTAAAACTGAGTTGTTGGAAATAATTAGAAAAAAAGAGAGAAACCAAATGATTTGGTCCGACGATTACAAGCGTATGGCGTGATGGGATTGAGGGATGGAGATGGGTCGAGTTCTTCAATCGCAAGGAGGGAGTTAAGGAAACCAAATGATTTTTGTTAAATCGACTATCATTCATCATGATTCTTGGTGAACGAAGGCTATATCTGTGATGAGGAAAGCTAGACGAGTCCAATGGTGTGCTTTAGGTCTTGAATAGCGATTAATGACGGTGGTCGGCGTGGTGGTCATCAACGATCAGCGGTGGTCAGTGATCGGTTGAATGAGCAGCTTGCTTGTTAGCTTTCGGGAGAAGGGAACGAAACAAAGTGGGAAAATAAGAAATGAAAATTTGGTTCAGAGAGCACGTGGGTTTTGAGAATATTGATAAAGTAAAAAAGTGGAAAATCACAAGGTGAATCATCCAAGTTTGGTAAGATCTTTACCTTGTCTATTAGTTTTCAAGTGGTTATAGTTATGGCATAATAGTTTTTACAATATCAATTTAGTCACTAATTTAAGTAATTAAATATTTTGATGGCATCATTAGGTTTTAGTTTTACCAACTGAGTCCTCAAATTATTATTTAGATTATAATAAGTTGTTTTTATGGCAAGGGAAATTATTTGGATACGAGTTAGTAATTTTGATTGCCTGGATCGTGAGGGAAATATTGGAAGTTGAAGTAAATATCGAGGGAGTTCAAATGAAATTTAAACGGTCGACAAATGGCACGAAAATCGAGATAATACATTACTACCTTTTCATGCTTTATGAAACATGTTGGTATTGATAAATACATGAATGAATATGTTTGGTCTCATTTGGGTATTTAATTATTTCATACAATCGATATGGATGCAGTAAAAATTCGGTAAATGAATACGGCTCGGATAACTTATATAAGAAATTGAGGGATTGTTAGAATTAAATTATGAGTTTTGTGATTAGTGATAAAGGAATCAGCTTGGATCTGTAGCATATAATTTATTTCATCAAAGGTACTTGGATGGAAAATTATGAGAATACTCCGGTAGAGTAAAATTATGACAAGAATTATCCATGGAAGTTGGTTAATAACTCTGAAAAGACATATTGATCCGATAAAATTACAGATATGCGTAAGAAATGCTAGTTTTGCTTAGAAGATTTGGATAACTGGTTTTTAACACCATGAGGGTTTATGCAAGATGCTAGAAGTATGTTAAGGGAATCATTTCAAGATCAGAAAATGTTCGGGAAAACAATTAAGCATGAGATCTCTAAATTATAATTATTTTCGTTAAGAGTTAATACCGAAGTTATCTGATTAAGAAATTACAAAAATGCCCTTGAGATGTAATAATAGTCCGATTTGACCTTGAATCAGAAAATACTTTGAGGATTCGTACTTAACACAATAAATTACGGATTCAATTGTTAAGATTATGTTTTTGTACAGAAAATTCCTGATAACCTGTTGGTAACTTCTGAGAAGACAATTGACCTAAAAATCTCCGAGTTAAGAATAAATTATCGAGGGTGCCCTTTTGTTAGAATTGTTCGAAAGGTCTGGAAAAGATGATACGTTTGAATTAAATAATAAGATCATATGGAAGGAAATGATTGAAATACACCAGATCTGTAAAATGACCACAATACCCCTGTAATGGAAATGACCCAAGAATATCACCAAGCTTAGGAATGATGGGATATCCTCGAGCTCTGTAATGAATGGAATAAAATTGAACACCAAAATAACCAAAATATCCTTATGGCCTATACTAAGTAAATGTCTTGGATTAATTAAGGAATCCAAATAAACATGGGTGTTGTACTACCCTTAAAAGTTATGAAAAACAACTTAAGTGAGCTGATCAACCCTAATGATATATCAGTACATGAACGACATATATATTACTTGAATGAGTGTTCGTCTACTCAAGTTTGGCTTGATGATAATTTTGGAAGTATTCAGCTCAGCTCAACTCTAGATCGCATTCAACACCAAGAATTAGATATTTGTTCGACAAATCAACCACGAAGCTGAAATAAACGGAAGTACAACATGTATCCGAAATTCAGAGACGTCCAACTTAATCTGGAAAACTCCGAAGTAAATGGAATGGATTTGACTGCTAAATGAACTAGGTAACCTCAATGACTGAGGATTTAGTAAGTGATTTGGATAAGTCTAGAAACTCTAATGAGTTTACATAGTGTACAATTACTATTATGAACAAAAAATCAAGTACGTCAACATTTCATGATATCGTTGAAGTGTGGAAATGAAATAAAGACCCTTGGAAGACCATTCAACGATGACTCCAAAGATGATTTATGGACATTAATTGTTGTTATTAAAGAGTAAATATATGAAGGACAAAGAATGAACCGGTCGACAGGCATTAGTTCTGGGAGTTGTTCAGCTTGAGTTATTTCGATAATCCGATAGATCGATACAGACTGTAAATGTCTTGAACCTTCATTTCTTCCTTATCAGGTCAAGTCTCATTCTGAATAATTGATGATTCCGTCAGTTATTGAACTCTTCTAATAGTGATTCTAAATTTCGATATTCTATCGGTATATCGAAGATCCGTGTTTCTCTGCCTGCCAAGATTATACAGTACCTTTAAATAATATTTGTAAACTCTGGTGTGTTCCCTAATCACTTGAATAATTTATCTGATTTCCAATTTGAATTCTGTTATGATACCTGAGATGGATTCTGATCTGATACTTGACCTAGATTCTGATCCGATACTTGACATGAATTTTGATATGATACTTGACCTGAATTATGTTTTGATTTTGATATATACGTTTACGGATGGAACATGTTTTATTTGGGGGTATTGTTGGAGAAAGAATATTTGCAAGCTCATTGGCTTTGTGCTCTACACATTTTGTTCGTGACGGATGGGGGAATTACTATGGTTTTTGAATTTTAAAAATATGTTTTAAAAAGATCTGTATCTTTTCACTGGTTTTGTGAAAACACACTAGATAACCTATTCTGATCTCCTGAACCTAGACATCTGAAATATTTCCCTAAACTAAACGCTTACTATTTGTTACTACCTAAAATATCCGTAGGATCTCTGCTCAGCATAAAGATCTGTAGATGTCTGAATCGATAAGGAAATATATGTTTATCTGTATCTGCACGTTTTTCAGCATCATCTGATAGTTCTGTATTACTGAGCTTTCCCAAGCTCACTCTATTGCTCACCTTTTCAAGTTAAAAGAATTATACAAGTGCAGCTATCGACTTCAGTAAGGGAGTTCTTCCGGCGTTGTTTGCAGAGTATGGTACATGTGATTAGGGGGCATGTAATTGTATTTTGTTTTATATACAAGTCTGAAAATCTGTTTTATTTCTGTATACTGATAAATCATTTTATAAGTTACATGTTTTAATAAAAGTTTTAAATTTTTCGCTATTTTTACAGTGGGTCACTCCGGTGGCCCTAATGTGACACTCCAGATCAAATCGGATTACTCACATCGGTCTGAGGGGGTTACAATACAAGTATTAAATCTACTTATCAGAGCCTCTAGAAGACCATTGACATCCATACACATAAGCATCAAAACCTTTGAGCTAACTACAACTTATAGATAAGATAAGACCTCTAACAAACCATATGGTATATCAAAGTGAAATTCAAAATTTGGCGATCAAATCTATTTAGCATGCTAACCTACTAAATCCATTTGTTCCTCGTCAACCAGTTTTATTTTTATTTGCATTCACCACATGATTGACTTTTCTGCTTCCCTTGAATTGAGAGTTTATTCGTTATAAAAAATGTTTCTTAAGATAATGTTAGTGTCAGAAAAGAGCTACAAGACATAAGAACCAGTTATACGGCCCTTATTTGATTGACCGTCCCTTTACCATGTAGGACATTGAATTTAAGTAACTCCCAATTTTCACCTACGAATGAATGAAGTGGCATAACCCTTATCTCAAAGGCACTGACATTTAATTTCCAATTTATGTAACCCCTTTTGATGTCTCGATCTTATTGGTTTGAGGGTGTAATACGTGAGCAAAGGAAAATGTGAAGTCAAGTGGTGGGGTGGGGAAAGGTTTCAATAACTCCCTTTCGAGACTTGAAAATGAAGCCATTGAAAAATGTAAATTGAAGGTACTAACTAATTAATGGATTCAATTTACTGAAAGTCACCTAAATTTAAAGGGGAAGGCGAAAGAAAAAGGTTGATAAAGATGTTACAAAAGAGAGAGATTTGGATATGTTGCAGATGTTTGTCACCATAAAATGCAAAGCTAAATATGTCCATCTCCTTCTTGTTGTTGCTGCTGCTGTTGATTATGAGGCCACGTACTGTTCGATAAACTGTTATCTGTTGAGCAAGGTGTTTCTGATTTTATCTCCATATTGTATAACCCAGATTGCGGAGTTTGATTTTGCATAGCGGCCGCCATTAACAATGGGTTATTGAGATATTCTGGACACTTCATTTCTTCGGCTTGGCTTTCCATTAGATTGATTGGAGTTCCTTCTTTCTCTGATGTGCTACAATCCGCCATTCCCCAAGCGAAATTGTTATTTACGGTAAACGAAGCCATCGAAGGATTGAAACACATAGGGGAAGAGAGGAACGATGAGCTTGTCAATGGTGGGAGAAGGGTAGACATGGAAGTCGAAGAAAGATCGGAATCGATATCGAAAGCTTTGCTGGTTTGAGTGAACCAGGGAGTAGGGTTTAAAGAAGACAAGAGCCTTGCATTAGACGATGATGCGTGGTTCAATTGTTGAATCGGGAAACGACCCACCAAATTAGAAGACTGGCTGTCGGTGCTCGTGATGGCGAATCTATCGAGAAACAAGTGTTTGCTGGGAGTAGATGCCATCAAATTGTTAATACAGTTGATCGTCATGGAGCTGGAACATCCTTCCATCTCCAACAGATGAACAAGTCTTTGTTCATATAAAGCTGTTCCAGGTTTGGGAGTAGATGCCCCTGAAGCCATTTCCAGGCTATTAGTGTGTTCACTCTTGTCTTCTCCATTTTCAACCTCCGAGAGATGTTTATGAGTGACAGGGACAAAGCCTCTCTGCCGAAGCTTCTTCTTTAAGCAAGAGTTCCATAGATTCTTAATTTCATTGTCGGTTCTTCCCGGTAAATGTGTGGAGATTTGGGACCACCTGCGGATCCAACCAAACATAACACAATGAATGTTTAATGATTTCTGTATAAATTTTCCAAGAATATAAAAAAGGGTTATAAGAAAGAAAGAAAGAATACCGATTCCCCAAAACTGCATGAAGTTCGATTATGAGATTCTCTTCTTCTTGAGAGAATGTGCCTCTCTTTAAATCGGGCCTTAAGTAATTAATCCACCTCAATCTGCAACTCTTTCCGCACCTCTTCAGGCCTGCCAATTCATGATGGTTTAAAGAAGAAACAAACATGAAAAAAGGAATTGAATTTTTGGTTCTAAGATTAATTACCAGCTTGTTTAGGGACAGAACTCCAGCAAGCATGGCCGTACTTAGTAATATGCCTCAAGAGCTTCTCATCTTCTTCGGGAGACCAAAGGCCTTTCCTTAGCTTCTGCTTGTAACAGCAAGACTGCCTCCCCATTTTCAGACCACGCCAAATTATAATGACCAAGTCTCGAAAACAGCAACGTGGCTGAATCCTTGGCGAAATTCTAGGAATTTACAGTGTTTTTGGAATACTCTGGTAAGAGGAAAAATTGTAAGAAAAAGAGAGCGAAAAAGAGGATATTGATACAAGGAGGCTCGAAAATGAAGTGGCAGCTGAGCAGGGAGTTGAATTAATATAAGAGGAAGCTCTCCACTGAGAGGTCTGAGAATAAATGACTTTTTCAGAGAAGGTGGTCATTATTTTTAATATTTCGAGGGGTTATAAAGTAATATTTATTCATAAATTTTCTTAATCGTTGATAATATACACATACCCTTATATAGTTATCCCAACTCGAAATCTTTAGAGAAAACAATACTTGAATCTACCGAGATCGCTCAATAAGTTCAACATGGGATATCTCTGTTATATTATGTCGAAAGATTGCAAGTATAAATTTATAAATTATAACCCCATAATGGTGAAATTTAGACAAAAGTAATAGTTTCTTTTTTTCAGAGTCTTAAAGGAAACAGGATAGGCTCCTTTTCTGGAAAAATATTCTGTGGAGTCGATGATAGCTTCGAAATGGTTTTCATTATTACATGGAAAGAATCAAATTCTTTTAGCCATGTTCTGCACATTAAGGACGTCTTTCCCCCATTGTGATGAATCCCACTCAGCGATGTAAACTACACGTTTCCCCACAAATAATTTTCCAGTTTGGGATTTTCCATCTTTTCTCCTCTCATTAATTCATGATGGGAATTGCTTTCTTTGACACGGAAATCTCCATTTTTGAGAAAGTTGCAAAAGCTGATGTCTTCATGTATTTACAATGCCTTGAAGGTGACTACGTGCTTAGTATTTATCTTATCATTCAACACATTCCTCTGAAATCTCTTGTTTCATATTTTTAGTAGCATACTGTTAGACAAAATATTAATCCAATAAATAAAACAGTAAAATAATAATTAAATAAGATAATATTATTTTCGAATCGAACTAAGAACGAAATAGATTACTCATATATAGATATAGAATAAGATGAGTAAAGTCAAGTTATGCTATGTCCCTTCTGACAGTTATGCTTATGCTATTCCTTATTCATATGGGAAGATTCCTTGTATTATTATTATTATTATTTTATAAGTATGTAACATCTTCTTATTCATTTTCGTATGGAGGCAGAATTTTATGTTAAGAGATATAAACTTATTAAATTTTAAATAAGAGATAATTTATAAAATTTTAGAATGTCGAAAATATATTTTCAATGAAAGATAAAAGAATATTTAAAATATATAAAAATTTAAAACTTTTAGTGACCACAGTCCCATCTAGATCCATCTCTGGATTTTCGTGTTGGAGTAAAGCTGTCCCAGTTCATATGTCTACAGAGATCAAATTATAAATTAATATGGATCTCTCCTTTTTTAAAAACATGTGTATAAATAAAAGAGATTCTCGTATGGACATGCCTCATCAGTGAATCGTGAGCTTATCATATGCAAGCACAAGAGTTGTTTCCTATAGTCAATTATTTTCTCTCACGGTTAAATATAAATCAATATGTTGTCGTTAAAAATTTGATGATAGATAACACGACAATTAATAAAATTGACATAATTATTAACATCTTATTCTGTTTGAACTTGATTTCTTAGCCTAAAATCGGACCTAATCACTGACCTAAGCCCAACCTAATCAAACTCGATCAATACAAATCCCATATCCACCCGGAAAGGACTCGATCAAACCCCTACTCCCATATCCACCCGGAAAGGACTCGATCAAACCCCTACTCCCATTTTCCTCAACAAATTCACTACCGATCTCACTCTCAACCTTCCACTCAAACGCGTTTTTTACAAACTGTTAAATCTCGAAAAGAGTTATTTATCATTCCTTTAGACTTGGTTAATTGCATGTACTTAATGTTTTAGTTGCATGTTTTAGATTATTACATTGTTATTGCATAACATTTCATTTTATAGATTGGTTGCGCTTAATTTACTTTAATTTTTGCTTTGATCGGTTGTTGGAAAGGTTTTTGTGGTTGGTTGATTCAGGTTGAAGAAGAAAGAAAATAAGGTGTATCACCTCGAATTAAATTCAATGATTCAAGTGTGAAATACTAGAGTTCGAAATTCAACTTGTTTGGAAACTATGGAATATTTGACTAAGCTGCATTCGGGAAAGAACTTTGAGCCAAAAGGATGAACTCTAAAGAAAACAGTGGCCTTGTGCGTAATTTACCCATTTTGTTAGAAATTTGAAACTCCAGTCAGGAAAACAAAAACACAAGGATATCAAGACTTGAAACCGTGATCTATAGGTATGATCATAGATATCTCAACCATTAGGCTAAATCACTAATTAGGTTTTCAAATTAACAAATATGCTATTTTAACTAACTTATATCATATTAAAAAGCCCCCCAAGCCATCAAAGCGCCGTTCACATCTCCCTCGTCACCGTTTTCTCTCCGGCTATCGGTGACGTGCACCGCCAACACAAAAGTGTTCGTCATCCAGTCGCGACCAAACCCCTTCAAACCGTTCGTTGAAGACCGTCGTTGTTCTTAGTGAATTAGTGTTCAAAACGTTCGTCGAAACCTACTGACCATCGTCGTTTTTCTTTAATTTCCCGCCGTTTTTGAACTCCATTAGTCTCACCGCCCCCAGCACTGGACTCCCTGTCGTTGTCCGATCAAAACCCGGCCATTTTGGTCCTTCAGCATCGTCGTATCGCCGTCGTGGGGAGTGAAAGTTGAAGAGGTTTCGACCGTTCGTAAATTGGTATGCTCTTCGTTGCAAAATATCACTTGCACGAGACCCCCGAGGTGTCGATCTACAAGACTGGAAAATTTCACGTCGAACCGACGGTCGGAGTCGCCGCACGCATAGCTCCCTGCGCGTGGGCGTCGTATGTCAACCAGGGGAGTCTGTTGACCGACTGAACCGGTCTGGACTGATCCGTTTGAGCTTAGCTAAGTAGAGCCACACCAAGCTAAGCTAAGCCTAGTCGAGCCATTGACCATGCGTTGACCGTTGACCCCTGTTAACTTCTTACGGGAACACATATCTTAATATTTTTCGACGTCCTGAGTCTGTTTTGAGGTTCGTTTCACCAATTTTGAAGTCGATAAGTTGTTTTTCACCAATTAACCTCCCAATTCGATACGTTTTCACAATTAAACTCCATTTATGATATAATTTCTTTTGATATGTATCCGAGATATTATTTGACGTTGGATTCAAGTTTGAGAATGATCAAATAGAGTTTAAATGTTCGACCGGTGTAGCTCGAGAATCGAGGTATAATTTACTACCCTATGCATGTTTTACGGTACATGTTGGTGTTGCTAAGTGCATGTATGAATATGTTTGGTCTCATTTGTATAATTAATTATTTCTAAACTCGATCCAAATACGATAAAAAGTAAGTAACTGAATGAAACTCTGATGGCTTGTATAAGAAATTAGAAGATTGATAATGAACAATTCCAAGTTCAGTGATTAACTAGTGAAACATTTAACCTCATAACCCTTAAATTTTGATTACTCTTGTTAAAAATTGAAACACCGAAAATACCTAGATAAGAAATTATGGAATTGCCCTTGAGAGGTAAAAGTAACCTAGATTGACCTCAATTGAGAAAGTACCCTGAGAGTTTGTATTTAATCTGATAATTATTGATTTAACTGTTAAGTTCATGTTTTGTTCAGAAAATTTATAATTATCAGTTCGTAAGCTCTGAGAAGGCACTAGACCTAAAATTTATGATTTATGAGCAAACACCTGAAGACTAACTTATTGAAAGTACTCTTATTGTCAGGATTATTCAAAATGACTGAAGCAATTGACAAGTTTGAATTAAATGGAAAGATTGGATTGAATGAAAGGACTGAAATACCCTAAATGATGAAATGATCGAAATATCCCTAAAACCTTGAAATGATTGAAATATCTCTAAAACCTTGAAATGATCGAAATACCCTTATATTTCAAAATGAATAAAATACCATCAAGTCCTGAAATGACTAAATTAACCTCGAGTACCGAAATGACCTAAATACCTTCATGGTATAGAATAAGTGAATGCCTTTGGATAAATTTTGGACATATTGATAAAAATATAAATAAAGGTTGTATCACCCCTAAGGGTTGAAACACGTCCCAAGCATATCGTCTATGCTTGCTACTGTTACAATATGAGAATAAAATAAATAAAACCTGAATAACCGTTCGTCTCCTCAAGATCCGTCAGATGATGGTTCTAAAGGTGACCAGTTCAACTCTATAGTGTAGTCAATAATAAGAAATGAATAGTCGTGAAGTTACTCTACCTGCATACTTGGTAAGTATCACATGTGTTGGGATCGGTACAATTCGATCAAACTTGGAAGCCTGATAAGATGCTTGAAATATGAAATATTGTAAATCACTCATTACCATTATCAAACTGAATTACCAAAATTTCTCGGGAATCAAAAGACTAAAATGTCCTTATGAGTCCTATTAATGGAATCACCCAAGAAATTTTAAATCTTAAGAAATTCTGATGTAACAGTTCCTGAATATCCTTTATATATCCGAATATTATATGATCATAATATATCACTTTCCTAATGACTGATTAATCTGTTAGTTATTGAACTCTTTAAAAACGGATCTCATTTCCAAAGTTCGATCAGTTTGCAGAAGTTTCGTGTTTTCCCCGCTTGATAATTACCAAGTACCTCCAAAACATAATTGGATCCTTTAGTGTGTTCCCTATGTTCTATATAATTGTTTTATGTCCTGAAATGTGATTTACTGAAGTCACTGATTTACTGAGTCTTTTAACTGTTCGATATTCTAAATTACTGATTTATTGATTTACTATTTATAAACTATGGCTACATGATATATATGCTCTCTGGTTACCTGTTTTCACTGGAAAATATAATTATGCCTGATTTATGGATCATAGAATTTACTGTTTACTATATGAACCGATTCTTGGGATATTGTCTGGGTAGGATTATGGAGTATGGAGGTTCAACTCTGATCAAGTTGGTAATTCCTTACGGACCTAAGGTGACCTTGGGTAGGCTCTGAGGCCCCAAGGCATTTCCTTGGGTAGGCTCTAAGGCTTCAAGGTACTCCCGTGGGTAGGCTTTTAGGCCCTAAGGTACTCTCTTGGGTAGG